CTGCTGAATGCTACAAAGTTAGTGACTTGATCGTTGTTTCCTTGGTCATCATCAGATTCTTCTTCATCGCTCCAAACAGTAGTAAGTGATATTTTCTTCTTTTTCTTCAGGGTGTTTGCGCATTCTGATTGAATGTGACCAAAGCCTTCGCATTCTCGACATTGTATTCTTCTTGGTTTTGACTCCTCTGAGTTATCTTGATTTGAATTTCTCCTCGAATTTTGAAAGTTCACGGTTTTCCCTGTGCTTGGAAGATTTCCCCTTTTACCGATCTTTTTGAGAAATTTCCCAAAATTTTTCGATAGTATTGCCAAGGATTCCTCTACCGTCTGCTCATCTTCTTGAGTTGACGAATTTTGGGGTGTTGCATATGAAGTTTCTACTTGAAAGGCTATCTTCTTTTCTCTAGGCTTTTCACGATGATTTTCACCATGATTGAGTTCTTGTGCCAGAAGTTTCCCCATGAGTTCGTCTAGTTTGAGCGTGTCAACATCTCTGACTTCTTCAATGGCAGCAATTCGGTAAGCAAATCTTTCAGGTAAAGAGCGCATCGCCTTTCTCACCAATTTGCTTTCAGAGTAAGGTTCACCGAGTGCATATGATTCATTGGAGATATCACATAATTTAGCATGGAAGTCAGTGATCGTCTCATTCTCTTCCATCTTCAAATTTTCGAACTTGGTGGCCAGCATTTGTAACTTCGACGTCCTCACAGTTGACGTTCCTTCGTATGTGACTTGAAGGATTTCCCAAGCTCTTTTAGCAGATTCACATGACGCTATTAGTTTAAATTGATTATCATCAACACCACTAAATATTGCGTTTAGGGCCCTTGAGTTGTAGTTTGCGAGTAGTATCTCTACGTCACTCCAATCTGCTTCTGGTTTGAAAACTTCCATTTTGTCTTCTCCTTTGACCATGGGAGGTGTCCAACCAGTTATGATGGCGCGCCATGCTCTCTCATCTATGGATTTGATAAACATCTTCATTTTTGATTTCCAATATGAGTAGTTTGATCCGATTAGGAGAGGTGGGCGAGTAGTTGACGATCCTTCTCGTTGAGTATCCATATCTGCACAAAATAAGAGTAGTTAGTTCCCAAAATCTCACTAGATGTATTTAGTGACAGGCTCTTGATGCCAATTGTTAGAATTATTTCGTGCAAATTAATTATAAATTTGTGTCCGATAAATCCCAGATTCAGTTTTAGCTACTGTTCTACTGTTTTACGAAGAGTTGCAACAGTTAATGGAACAGTAATAAAAAGACACAAATTTTAAAGTGGTTCGGATACAATTGTACCCTACATCCACGGGGACCTGCAAATGAAATTCACTAATTTTTAGTTTTACGAATACAGTAATAGGACTTAATCGAAAATGCAAAGACTCCCTCTTTGTCGACGCCGTTCTTGTATCCTACGCTGAATTGTCAATCTTCACTTTGCAGCACGTCCCTTTCCGCACGGTTGAAATTTCTTCAACGCTGAGTCCCTCAGTCGGCGGATCGACCTCCTCCCGAGATCTTCGGAGTTCTTCTCCCGAAGAACCGATCTTCTTTTCGCGTGAAAGAAGCAAATCGTTTGCTGTGTTTTTCTTCTCGAATAAGATCACAACTCAGGTGCAGCAACGCAAGAGCAGAAAAAGTTTTTCTCTCAAATAAAAGGGACAACATATAAAAACGTTGATGCTGCCCTTCTTATACTTCCTTAGGTGAATTAGTAGAGCCCTACAAAAATTAGAGCCCATTAGGTTAGAAATACTCTTCACGTAAGGAACAAGGAATTATGACAACAAGGAAAGTCTTAGTCAAATAAATTCCTTGTTAATAAAACACTAAGGTAATTAAATAAATTAATGACAAAATAAGAGTTTAAAGAACTAAGGAAACTTCCCTAGTTTTTATACACGTTTTTCGCACACGTGTTGAAAAACCGAAATAGAATCCTCTCGGATTCTAACAGATGTGTTCATATTTCTCCCCACCGTGCTTTTTCTTTTCCAAAACACGAAAAACCCACGAAAAACAGAGAAGACAGTAGGAAAAAAATGAATATGTGCGGACTTCATCAATGAAAACCCAAATTACACAATAGCAAACCCAAATCACTAAATTATATTCACTAATAATTAACAAGAATAAAAATCGAGAAAAATAGAGAGATATGGAGAAAGTAACTCACGCTTTAGAATAGATATATGTGGGCGGCGGAATACAGTGTTGAATCTCGACGGCGGAGTTGGCGGCGGAGTGTGACAACGAAGAGACACAGTCGGAATGGGCTAGGGTTCGAGCTGCAGAGATTCGATGGCAGAGTGGCAGGCGGAGGGTGACGCCGTCGGAGTGGGCTGCAATTGAAGCTCGACGGCGGAGACGGAGGCAGAGTGTTACGCCACCGGAGTCGGCTGTGTGGCAGGGCCCGCTGAAGCACGACGAAGGAATGGGTAGCGGACGCCGGGGTAGAGGTGACGAAGAGATGCCGTCGCCGTCGGATTTGTGGGGGGTCGCCGCCGTCGAATTTGTGAAATTGGGAAGGGGCTAATACATCAAGACTGATATACGGAAAATGAAACAATTTGGAGATGAAAGGAATTTTAGGGTTGAAAATTAAAAACTCCTGCCACGTAAACCACCACACCGTCGCATTAAATTAAAAAAATAAAAATTATTGCGACCGTTTTCTTATTCGTCGCACAAAGAGGCGGACTTTTTTCGTAAATTTGATTTTCGCACACAATAAAAGCGCGAAATTGTATTTTGTCCAAATTTAATTGCGACGTTTATGTAATATTCGTCGCCAGGGTGTTTTAAATTTATATAAAATTTTAATTTTCAAGATGCGACGTTTTAACTTTCGACGCAAACTTCGTGAATTTAAAAATTATGCGACGTTTCTGTACGAATCCTCGCACCTATATAATTACGAAAATAAAATTTTAATTCGTATCATGCGACGTTTTTACGGTTTCGTCGCAATGGTATTTTTTATTGACCTAATTTTTTTATTTTCGTATGCGACGATTTTATTTTTGACGCATAGGTTCGTGAATTAAGAACATATGCAACGATCCTGTCACAATCGTCGCAATGGTGTTATTATTAAATTAAAATTTTCATACTTTTCTTGCGACGATTATGCTATTTCGTCGCAATAGTGTCTGTAAATAATTTTATGGTGCACCGTGCGACGTTTTTTTTATATTCGTCGCAATTATTTAATTTTATAAATGTTGAAATATTATTTATTACGTCGTTTTGTTAATCATCGTTGCAAATAATTTATGTAATATTTTTTTTGTTAACAGTTGCGACGATATTCCAGTTCCGTCATTTGCGTGCGACGATTACATATAATTGTCGCATATATTTTTAGTTAAATTTCACCTTTAACCGGTTGCGACGTTTATGGTGAAATATCGTCGCAATTGGGAGACGAAATGGTAATCGTCGCAATAAATTTCGTCGCCAGAGTGCAATTTTGGCCTAGTGTATATAGAGAAATATTGTAAGGTAGTTGAGTTTAACTAGGTAACAAAATTCTAACTAATCTAGTTAACTCGATCATACTAGAATCTTAATATTACAAGATATCTATAATATCAAATAATATAATATATTCTAACATGTACATTATAACCATCCGATTCAATCCTAATATTACAAGATATCTATAATATCAAATAATATAATATATTCTAACATGTACATTATAACCATCCGATTCAAGTTATAATTTAATCAAATTTGCATGAACCTGTCTAGACAACAAGCCTCTTTCTCACTCATTCCGGCCTCTACATTAAGCGCTACTCAAAGAGAGAAACACATTTCTATATCTAACAATTCCTCATGCCATATCCTTAACTACATTAAGTTGCATTTCCCTATTTTTTTTTAAGACAAGTATTATTGATATTGACAGTTTTTGTAACTCAACTGTCACATTCTAATTGTTCGAGATCTAACCTGAACTGAAATTTCACATTCTAATTGTTCGATTAAGAAATATTAAATATGAACAGTATGATGGGTCGCGAATCCTGATCGAAGAAGCTCGCAGTTTCTTTCACCCAGTCCACCGCAACTGTATTTCCACGGTGATGATAAAGTGGCGGAAACGTTGAATGGGAGGCGACGACTGCAAACGCGCACCGGAAATGGAACGGTGATAATGTATAGAGATAAAATGGTGCGCCACGTGATGTCACTTGTAAATCTAATTCTGAAAATCCATCGAACAATAAATAAATTAATAAATACAAAAATCAAATTGTAGCCACAAAATTGGAAAATTATGATTACTTTTTTTGCAATCTAATTTTCTGTGCATATATGATATATATTAAAAAAAAAAAGGTATGCTAAATCTCATACTAAAATTTACTAAATCCCACACATAAATTAAAAAAAATCTCTTTACTTATATTTTCTCTAACTTTTTTCTATGATGATTTTTCCCAAGTCACTCCAAATTCGTTAATCTTTCATGTGAATAATCATAAAAAGTGAGTTTAGGTTTATTTAATATTTTTCAATTTCATTATGCCTTTGTAATTATTTAAATTCATATCAATTCGATTTTTTTTCTCGAATTCCAACTTTATTTTAGTTTGAATACATGACGATTTTTCTCAAATTCGAACTTTGAATGATATGGACGTTTTTAGTGTGTGATTTTGTAAAAAAAGGTTAGGAAAAAAGAAGAAGGATGGGGAAGGAGAAGATGAGATTTTAAAGAGAGAAAAATTTTCAATTGTGTATATGATTTGGTAAAATTGATACGGGATTTAGCATATCAGTAAAAAAAATAGATTTTATAGAATGTAATTAAATTAATATTTTAAAAAATGCGGTTTGACCAAAATAATGAAAAAAAGAAAAAAAAAAACGCCACGTAGGCGCTGAATTGTTGTCTCTCTCAGTCATAGGTTTATGAACTGGCCAATCAGAGCTCGTCTACACCGTCAACACTCAACACAGCAGTTTTCCTTTTTCTTTTTCTTTTTTTCTAATTAAAAAAAAAAACAAAACAGAGCAGTTTTCAAACACAGTTCTTTTTACCTTCCGAAAATTAAGAAAACTTGCAATAATTTTCAATTGAGCGTACGAGGAAAAAAGAAGAAAAATGGGGTGGATTGAAGATGGAATTTCTTCGATTAGATCTTTCCAGTTACGGCAGGCCCTCCATCAAGCAGTTACCCTTGGTTTATTTCTTTCTTTTCAACTCTTCTACTTCAGTTTTTGTGTAATAAATCTTTGTGTGATTAGGGTTTTTTTGTGGGTTTTATTTAATTTAATTTCTAAGAAAATAAATAATTTCTTTTATGTGCTGAACAGTACAGTATAAATAATTTGGGTTGGTTGTCTTTTTTTTTTCTTTATATAATCTGTTATTATCTTCACTTGTGTTTTTTTTTCCAAGTGGGTTTTATTTGGTTATTTTTGATTTGTTTTTTTTTCTTATTATATTATCCTTTCGGTTTTTTCGATTTTTTGTCTCAAAGGTATGATTGTTGCATCTGCATTGATGATATGGAAAATGTTGATATGTGTAACCGGAAGCGAATCGCCGGTCGTTGTCGTTCTTTCTGGAAGCATGGAACCCGGATTTCAAAGGGTAATTAGGACCTTTTAGTACTAAATTTAATGAAAAAAAAAATTATGTTGTTATTTTCTTGGTCAGAAAAATTGATGTGTGTGTGTTCATGTACAATTTACAAAATTCATCTGCAGGGAGATATTTTGTTCTTGAATATGGGTCGTGATCCTATTCGAGCTGGCGAAATCGTTGTCTATAATGTCGACGTAAGATTTTTTCTTCTTTTTATTTATCTATTGTTATTGTCTTGTGTAGATAAATAATGTAATAAACCACCACATAAATCACTCGTTTATCGATTCATATCCTGTCTTTCTACACTGTTTTCAGAAACGTGAAATTCCGATCGTCCATCGCGTGATTAAGGTAAAACACTGTCGTTATTTTTGGACATTTGGTCAAATAAATTGGTGATTTAGTACAATTTATTTCTACAATATCTTATGGTTTCGTATTTTCAATTAGGTCCATGAAAGAAAAGATACTGGAGAAGTCGATATCCTCACAAAAGGTGCCGAAAATAAATCTTCTTAAACATAGTTTATGTTTTTATAATGATTAAAATTGCGAATACTTTTTATGAAAACGTTAACAATTTCTACCCTTTTTTTTTTTAATTTCGATTTTTTTTTCGTCTCAGGGGATAATAATGACGATGATGATATATCCTTATACGCTCCTGGTCAGTTCTGGCTAAAACGGCACCACATCATGGGACGAGCTGTCGGGTATTTTTGTAATATTTTTTTAATGGTTTATTGCAACTAAACGAAAACATTGATTTATATCGATAAAATAGGACGATATTGATTCATATTATGATCAATACTAACATTGTTCTTCACACTCGTTTGCAGTTTCTTACCATACGTTGGCTGGGCCACGATTATCATGACTGAGAAGCCAGTGATCAAGGTTTGTAATTTTCAGACAATTGTTTTCTGATGATTTTAAAAATTGGTAAATGATATTTGACATAGTTTATTTTCCTCTTGCAGTACATTCTTATTGGTGCATTAGGTTTCCTCGCTATTACATCAAAAGACTAACGGAAAAAAACGAAGCGATTGGACTAAGATTTTAGGATTGATTTAATTGCGACTGTTGTTCCCCAAACGGGAAACAGCACGATGTTCTTGTTTGTGTGTCGAATTATGATTGTGCTTCAACTTTCTTGAATGAAATTCATTACATGATTGTGTGTAGGCACTTATCTGAACTTATTTTCATTTATACAAATAAATAAGGTTCGCTCTTTCTAAGTATTGTGTTGTAGATTTCTTACATTTCATTTGCCATCAAAATGGAGAACGAAAACTCGGTTCTTTGGAGTGAAAATATTGTCCAAACTCGACGTAATATATAACAATAAAATCTTGCAGGATTCAACTTAGTTACAAAAGAGTCATACAACAGATACGAAATATCAAAAAAAATCTAACACGTGCAGGTATCAACACTACGCTTACAAATACTTCTGAAACACGGGCAAGAAAACAAAAGCAACACGGGCAAGAAAACAAAAGCTTAAATCACTACCAAAAAAAGAAAAAAAAAATCTCTACCTCATAGTTTGAATTCGCAGAAGCAATCGGGCAAAGCGGACCCCACTCCCATAACAAAATCATCTCTATGAACCTTCCATAGCGCTTCCATTAACAAATTACCATTAAGCCCCTGATTAGTCAGAACCGCAAACGCCCTCCTACTCAGGAAAAGAGTTCTATACAACCCCTTGAAAGCCCTCATAGCCGCGACCATTTTATCCATATTTCCAAAATAAGTAGCCACGTACGAATCACTGTTAACCGACACATAGTAATCCAACGCGGCTTTACTATTCCCATGCATGTTCTCAAAATCTGTACCACTCAAAAGGGTAGATTTGGTAAATACATTTGCGTAGACCGAAGTCAACCCTTCAAGCTCCATTAAACCATCGCCAGCTGCCAGATATATATTCGTATTTGTGGGTATAGAAAGTGATTGCAGGATTATCGCAGTTTCGTTCGGTGTGAGGGGGCACTTGCCCCTGGCTCTCCATAAACGGGCTTGTTCTCCAGTCCAGGGCTTTCTCTCTCCTCGTGCGGAATCTATTGCTTGCGTGGAATTAGCAGAGAGGAATGAGTACTCGCATTGACTGTAAGCTACCATGTCGGGTTCGAATCGGAGGTGAAGTGAGAGGAAGGGTTTTGGTATAGCTTCTAGAAGGTCGGAACCTTTCTTCTCAAGTGTAGCGGTTAAGCGCAGTGCGCTGTAACAAGCCTGGCAAAGAGCAGCTTTTGCATACAGTGGGTACCTGCAGTATATTTTAGGAAGAAACGCGCATTAAAAAACTGATAAAAGTACAGTTATTGACTTAGGGGTGGAAATCGGACGGGTTAGATCGGAATTAGTACTTTCGGAAGAATTCTATTTTTTTTTCTTTTTTGCAAGTGAAAAACTAATTTCAATTCAGTTCCAAAAAAGATATCGGAAAATCGGAAATTTTCGGATCGGATTCGCTGGAATTTGGAATTTCTAATTTTTCAGTTATTACCTATAATATAAAATACAGAATAATATTGATATTATAAGTGTCATTTTCGGAAATAAATCGGAATTTTTTAAAATATGTTCGGAAATTAAAATCGCATCGGAAATTGGAATCTAATATGTATTCCAATTCCGTTCCAGAAAAAGTCGGAAAAAAAAATTCACAAATTTTAGAGTTCGGAATGGAAAATGTTGTTCCAAAATCGAAATCGGTGGAATTCGGAACTCCCGTTCCAAATTCCACCCCTCTTTTATTGATGAAGACTCTCGAACAAACAGATTTTTCTTCCTTGAGAAGAAGATATTATAATTGCACCAAAAGAAAAAACAGACAAGGTGGACTATTAACAAATCAACTTAAGAGTAACATGTTTTAAAGCAAAAAGTAAAGAGCTCGAAATGCATGGGTACCTATCCCTTCTTTGACTCATAGCTGGAGTGATTGAAATGTAACGATGTTCCAAAAGAGACGGGAGTACAGTTTCTACATAATCAAATAAGCCTTTACGTTTGCTGCAATCAACTTTGAAAGGCTCTTTTGATGCAAGCTCTGCTGGCAACTCTTTCACAACCTGAACGAAGCCATTCATTTTTTCGATGAAGTAATCCACATCAAACACATCTTCGAATCCACTGTATGGTCACAAAATACGAGTTAGGAAAAAAAATGTTGTTTTTTTGTTGGATGGGCAATAGATAAGATAACAATTCATTATCTCCACTTAAAAACAATATAATAGTTAAGATAACGTATGGAGTTGCATTAAGTCACTCATACCAATTTAAATATTCATAACCACCTTAACCGACTATGTATCATTGGTTAATCTTGCTTGCTCTAATTCTTCTAATCCTTTTTCGTATCCAACTTTTATTGAACATATATTCCATCCCAAAAAATGGCCAATTGCATCATTTTTTTTTTATGTTAACTGTTTAAGCTCAATTATACTCGGTCGAGATTGAAATGCCAACATACATAATAATGTTGGATATGACTTAATTTTACTTCATCGACATAAGAGAATGTATTGGAAAATGCAACATGCCTTTTTATTCAAAAAGTATAAATACAAGGCATGTTCACAGAATTTACCCGAGTAAAAGGATTCATGGTGCTTACCTCGATTCGTTCCAATATGCAGCCACTTCAAATTTAGGTAGAACAAGAGTTGCGTTCAGCAGTCGAGCAATACCAACTCCATCACAAAACTGCAATCATCTCAGGTGACGACAAATATAACATAAGCACAAAAAAAAAAAAAAAAAAAAAAAAAAAAAAAAAAAATTAAGCACACATAGTCATATAGTGATAAAGTACTCACATCCCTCCTCATCTGATTGAGCCCACCGTAGCAATCAACTCGAATATATCCATTGTTCTTAACTGGCAGAGCTGCAGCATTTCAACACAAAAAAGCAATGCAAAATGTCTGCATTTGACGCCAGTCAACGTTGACTTAGAAAATAAAACATACCGAATTCTAAAGATACTAATGTAGAAACATAAACACACCCGCAACTAGAGCAAAAGACAGCCTAAAACTATCACTGCCGCCATGTTTACAACTTTGACGAATCCAAGATTTCAGTATAAAAACGAACATGATAGAGAGAATTTAAAAACCAGATAAGCTTAATTTTCATATTCAGTCCTCTATTGGCCAAATCAAACTACTACTTCCTTATATAACTTCCAATTGCATCAACAGATCTTACATTCCCCAAAGATCCCAAGGCGGAGCTCCAATTTCTTCAATATTAAATTAGAAAAATTAAATTTTCTAAAAAGTAAATCTAACTAAAAAAAAGCATAACTTCGTAAATCTCAGTTAACTCAAAGCCATAAAAGAATCCATAAATAAAAACAAAGTAGGAAGAACTAACGAGCAGGACGCCGTTGAAGCCACCATTCGCAAGGTCTCCACTCGAATAATCTCCGCAGACTCCATATATCTGCTCTTTCTGGCCTGTTCAACAACAATTCCTCAATTAATTTAATCAGATCAGAATATAGATATACATATATGTATATATATATATCGACGAATCTAGGAATCGAACGTTCAGCAGATACAATTTCCCGAACGGGGCAGAAATGTAAAAAAAATGCGGCGACTTACGGCGGAGGATTGAGCGGTGATTGTGAAAAGGGGAAAGAAGGTGAGAAGAGAATTAGGGCTAGAAAAACACTGAAGAATATCACCGTTGAGATCAGTAGGGTTTTCCCTACCGTTGGAGCAATCATTGATACGACTGTTGTGCGAATTCGTATGGCTCTGTGATTTGAATTTCTAGCGGTGTTTGATTAATACTGGAGGAAGATGCAACTGGAGAGAGGATTCGTTCATTCAGATGGTGCAGTTTTTTTTTTTTTTTTTTTTCTTTTTTTTGTGTCGTTTTGATTTATTTTTTTATTATTATCATGTGTTACTCATGTTTCTTTGTTTCAAAAAAATAGTTTATTAGTCTAACTTAATTAGGGGTGTTCAATCCATAAAATCGTAACGCTAGAATTTCATACCATTTACCAAATCGGAATATACGGTTTGGTTCGATAAATAACCAAATTATCTAAATTTTATTGAAGGTTCTTTTAAATTTTTGATTTTTTATTAATTATAGTATAAAATAATATATTTTATTATAAATATTAATCATACATATATAAATAAAAATAAAATTCCGGTATTCGGTAAAACCGAATTACTAGAATTTCGAAAACCAAAAAACGGAATACCGAACGGAATTGCCGGTTTAGTATTCGGTACGTATCGAATTTTCGATTCGGTTCGGTCGGTTTACCGACTGGATGAACACCCTTAAACTTAATAGAGTGCTTATGTATTAGTATCTAAGTATTTATAGTTTAGTCTCTAATAACCCATTAATCAAATTAAATGTAGACATGTTCTAACTTCTTATACATATATTGGTGGTATTTGCAAATACTTTTGGAAGTAAATTATGAATTTTGTTTTTGGGTGAATTGCAATTCGCCCCCTATAGTTGACATTAATCGGCGATTTGCACCCTAACATTTCAAAATTGACAAAGTCCACCATCAAATTATACATCTCATGGCAAAAATGCCCCTACATTTCAAAAAACTCACTCATCACCACTCACCACCTTCAGAAAACTCTTCTTCCTTTCTCAATCTCACAGAACCCCTATTCCCTCTCATCACACTCGCGGCCTCTCGAATCGACTCAGAACTGCTTCTCTCCATCTTATCCGCAAGAATATCGGTTCTCTCTGCAAATCGAAATCCAATAAGCTTATTCCTCAAGACTTCACACGTTTCCGTATAAGGCGGAATCCCTTCATCGATCATCATCTCGAAATATCTAGAAGCTTCCTCAAGCTTCCCTCTCTTCTTACAAAGCCCGTGTATCATTACAGCATAAGTCGAAACAGTCGGATAAAACCCCTTCTTCTCCATCGAGTACCAAACTTTCTCCATCCGATCGAATCGCCCTATCCGTATCAGCATTTTCAGCACCATGTTGTACGTATGCCTGTCTCTTTCGCACCCGTCTTTGTCCATCCTCAAAATCAGCTTCAGAGCCGTGTTGACTTCGTTGTGGTCGCAGTGGAAGGCTAGCACAGTGTTGTAACTCCATGTGTCCGGTTTTACACCTCTCTCGAGCATTTCGTCGAGCAGCTCGTACGCCTCGTCGATTTTGTTGTTCTTGCAGAGGCTCTTGATTATGCAATTGTAGGTGAACACATTCGGGGCAAGATTGCACCTTTTCATCGAATCCAGCACCCGAAAAGCCGAATGGATATCATTTTCACTGCAAGAAGCACGTATGAAAATCGAGTACGAGTAAGCATCTGGTTCGAGCCCTTTGGTCCTCATCCCTTGAAACAACTCATACGCTTCGTCCACCTTCCCTCCTTTACAGAGTGCGTCGAGTACGCTATTCCAAGCGAGCAAATCGACCGTGTATTCTCTTTCGAGCATTTCGTCAAACAGTTTCTGCGCTTCACCAGAATCTCCTATCTCCCCCCAACCTTTCATCAAGATGCTGTAAGATTTCACAGTTGGGATTAGTTCACCGCCCTTAACTTGGTCGAAGAATTCCTGAGCTTGCTTCACGTGTTTCCTCTTACACAAGGTGTACAGAAGCTGATCGAGGTCATCCACGCATGGCGTAATCCCATAATCCAACATCTTATTAAAAGCCCTGATGGCATCACTTGGTAAATTAGCTCTACTGTAAGCCCTAAATACAATCCAGAAAATTTCTCGGCTGATCTCGCAAGATTCGGTCCGCTTCGTCTCCGTTAGAAAATCCCACAGAAACGGGAACTGTCTGCTGCTACCTAAGATATCCACGAGAATGTGGTAACTGTCTCTGCTGTGTTGAAAACCGGCGACGCTCTGTGCCCAGAGGAAGAATCTGTGGGCGGAGAATCCGAGATTCTTGCACCTCTTCAAGACGTGCTCGACTAGGGTTGGCGAGAGCTGCGAAGCGAATGGGGCGAGAGCTGATTCGACGTCGTGTTGGGGCTTTCTGTAGTCGCTGAGAATGCGCGAGAGATCGTTGACGAGGTGTGGGGAAGGCGGGTTCGATACTGTCTGATGAACGGCGATTGATTGAGAGGAGAAGTGTTTGGCGCTGAGAGATTTCAGGAGTGATCTAATCGCCATTTATTCGAAGAACTGAAGAAACTGGAATAATGTGCAAGGAAGGTGCAGAGGCAATACGTCGAACACTTGGTCTGCAATTTTATAGAAATGGTGACTTAATTTTTTAGGGTAAATTACAATATCGAATAAACCCTTCATGTTTGGATAATTACAACTCCCACAACTATGAATCTTATTATACGTTTACCACAACTATGAATCTTATTATACGTTTACCTTTATAGTATCAAATTCAACATAATCTTCTAGATTCCATAGAATGTTCTCTGGTTTTATAACTGTTTTGTGCAAAAATGCAGTTTCTAATGCACCACAATCTGATATATACTAGTCAAAATGTGGAGATCGAATGGGATAAAACGGGTACAAAATTGAGATTATTGCATATAATTTAGAAGATTCCATTAAATTTTACACTGCAAGAATGAACGTTTAAAAAGATTTATAATTGAGGGATTATTGTAATTAACTAAATATGAGAGGTTTTTTCGTAATTTGACTATAGAAGGTGGTTGTAATTTAACCAAATTTTTATATTTTATTTTTGTTATCAAATAAATTAATGCAAATACATTTTTATTGCATAAAATAGAAAGGGCCCAAATTGCTATTGGGCCTTTAGATACCTAGGGTAATCGGCCCACATAAAACTATACAAAACCCTAATTTCCATTTCTCAGTCTTTCACCACTCCCATCAAACAAGCAGCAGTTGCGCAAGCGGAGGAGCAGGCAGCCGTCGTCGAAGCCATGGTACGCCGCCGCCACCGTTACATAATCCATCTACATTTTCTATCTCTCTATCCATTTCTCTTTCACCAGATAGATACTAATGTATTTTTTTTTTAATTAATCTCGAAAATTGAAAATCTAGGGTATTGATTTAGTCGCCGGAGGTAAGAGCAAGAAAACCAAGCGCACCGCCCCTCGATCCAACGATGTTTACATCAAACTCCTCGTCAAGGTCTCATTTTTATTAATTTTTCCGATTTCAATTTCATCAAATTACACCAAATCGGCGAGATTTTAATTTGAAATTAATTTGAAAATCTGGATTGCAGCTGTACCGATTCCTTACTAGAAGGACCGGAAGCAGTTTTAACTCGATTATACTGAAGAGGCTTATCATGAGTAGGGTTAACAGGCCGCCGCTCTCTCTCTCCCGCCTCAGCTCTCTCATGAAGGGCAAGGTATTATTTCAATTTATTTCATTTTTAATTTATTTTCAATTTCATTTTTAAATGGTGGATTTTGTTGGTGATTGTGAGTGGTTTTTTTTTGCATTGTGCAGGAGGGTCAGATTGCGGTACTTGTTGGAAGCATTACGGACGACATTCGTGTGCACGAAATCCCTGCCATGAAAGTTGCTGCTTTGAGGTTTACGGAGACCGCGAGGGCTAGAATCGAGAAGGCTGGTGGTGAATGTTTGACTTTCGATCAGCTTGCTCTCAGGGCTCCTCTTGGCCAGAACACTGTAAGGCTTTCTGAGCTTTTTTTTGTTTGTGTGTGTGCTGATTATGCTAGTTTATGCAGTGTGGTATATGATTGTGTTGTGGTGATATGCACTTTATGTATAATCGAGTGTTGGATATTGTTGATTTAAATTTCTGAGGTCTGTTTGTTTTCGTGGATTTTGAAATGAGGATGACGTGGAATTGATTTTGTCGAAAAGCATTTGTTTACCTGCCGTGGAGATGGACTAATCACATAGTTGGGTGTTTTTATAGGTCGGAGAGGGATTTGAATTAAGTAATATAGAAAATGTATTTTCTCCGTTTTAGTCACAAATTACCTAGCCTTTCATCTCTTTTCACTTGCCGTTTTCTTGATCCAAGCATAACCTAAATGTACTTTACTTGCCTCACAAAACTACGAATCCAAGAATTCAACAAGTGGAGAGTATTGAAAATAATATTGATACACAACTTTTGTTCAATTGATGAAGTTTGTTTGAGGTTGATGAAGTAGGTATTTCAGTTGTATATTTACGGTAATGCCGCTACTTCTATCTTTATTTACTGGCATACGATACTAGTTAGATGTTTGCAATGAATCTCACCTGTTTTTTTTCTCCTTTTGTTGTCTGCTGCTGCTGTATTTTATACTGTTCCGTGTGTGAATTATGTAGTTTTATTAGTCTGAAAAGGCCAATTGTTTTTTGCAATAATATTCCATATGAACGTGTTACCCGGTAACAAAAAAAATTGAATCAATTGCTAAAAATAATGTCGAAACAGGTGCTGTTGAGAGGTTCAAGGAAGGCTCGTGAAGCTGTGAGGCACTTTGGACCAGCACCTGGTGTTCCACACAGCCACACCAAGCCTTACGTTCGCTCCAAGGGTAGGAAGTTTGAGAAGGCCAGGGGTAAGAGAAACAGTAAAGGATTTAGAGTTTAATTTACTATTCTTAGAAATCGTCGACTTTTATTTTCGGATTTTATGTTTGCCGGAGGATATTTATTTGATAGTTTTGTATCCCAAGTAATTAGACCTGTCGTTTTGCTCTCTTATTGTTTTGAAAGTTGTTGGATACTGATTTTGTCTCGTCTTTTATTAAAGTGGTATTGTTATTTTTCTCTGCTGCTTACATAGGTGCTATTTGAAACAAACATGAATAAATTCAAATGTGGAGGATGATATGGACAGTTAAAATTAATTAAACTATTCATAATTTTGATTAATCAGAAAGGTACAGCCACTGATCGCAATCTTACATACATATATAATCATAATTTTCTGAATGTAATTAATTATTGCACGACGTAATTAACATGAAAAGCGACATTACCATAAATTAACACTCCCAACGCTGAAGAAGTAATTGATGTAGGATCACTTTCTTCCAATGTTTTGAAAACCGGACCGGACCGGCCGGTCGGACCGGTTCAACCGCGAACCGCCGCCATGTCCGGTCCGGTTAAATGTGAAAAACCAAAAATCCCAAAAACCCGGGTCAAATGCCAAAATCCCGGTTCGACCGGTAAGAACCGGTTAACCCGGAACCCGGTCCAAAAACCGGTTTTTAGCTCAAAAAAAAAATCATGGCCAGATCTAAGTCAATGGTGGTCGTGGGTGGTAAAATCTTGTCGAAAAAGGTTGTTGGTGAACGGATCTGAGTAGTATTGACCGAATACAAGTGGTGGCAGCCATAGATTTTCACCGAAGAAAAGAAAACGAAGGAGAAATTGAAAATGAAGGAAAAAATGAAACAATAAGTTGAGCAAATAGAGTATAAGTCTGGGTGGAAATTGGGATAATTAAAAATAAACAGAGATAGAAGAGAATAAAAGAAGAGAAGGGGATGGGCTTGTGGCTGTGAAAACGAGAGGAAGAAGAAAGGAGAGAGAGAGAGGGGAGGACGAAATCAGAGGAGAGAGGGGGGAGAGGAGAGGAGAGAGAGAGAGAGAGAGAGAGAGGAGTGAGGAGTGAGGAGAGGAGAAAATTAATAATTTTAAATTATATTTTTGTAAAAAAGGTGGAGTGAGTTGGGTAATAAAGTGATGAAAGTGAAAAGCAAATATAAAAATATAAAATTTATTATATTTGAGGTATTAAATTAATAAAAAATTATATATATAAAAAAAAGTAAGAAACCCGGTTGGACCTCGGTTGAACCGGTCCAACCGTGACCCAGTAGCTTGGCCGGGTCGATGTCCGGTTCGGTTTTCAAAACATTGCTTTCTTCTGTTTGTGGGTGAGTAATGAATAAATTGATTGATTTATTTATTTAGCTAGTAGGTTAGTTTGGGCCTAATTGGACTTGTTGAGAGCTGCTTGAGCTTGGATTAGGGGTGCAAGTTGGAATGGAAATTTCTATTTTTGTCGGTTCCGATCCGAAAAGTTCCAATTTAGGAACAACTTTTTTCATCCCGACTTTCAAAATTTCGATTTTCGAATTTTTTTGATTTTTTGGATTGGAATTTCTGATGACGGATCCGATTTAATTTCTAAAATTAATTCCAAAAATTACAATTTTTTTCTGAAAAATACACCTATAAATAATAATATTTTATAGGGTAAATAGCACTTAACCCCCTTGTGGTTTGGACATTTTGCACATGACCCCCTTATGGTATGAATTTAGGCACATAACCCCCTTGTGGTTTTGACATTTTGCACATGACCCCCTTATAGTATGAAATTAGGCACATAGCCCCCTTGTGGTTTTGAAATTTTGCACATGACCCCCTTATGGTATGAAATTAGCACATAACCCCCTTGAATAGAAAACTGGAAAAGAGTAAATTGCCCTTATCAAGTCAAAAATTCTTGTTTTAATTTAAAAATAATTATTCTATAAAATGAAAAGCTTAATGTATTTTTTGTAAAATGAGAAATATAATATATTATTGTGTTTTTTAAATTTTACAGCACAAAAGGTATAAAATACTAGTTATTGTTCGATTGACAATTTATTCGATTTTAAAAATCAATTTGAAAATCGTTAACATTATCATTAATTATGATTGTTATATTACTATTTTTTATATAATATACTATGTTATAGCTGTTATCGAACTTTAATTTTATTAAGAAACAAAGTATTTATTTTTGTATTATTTTGGAAAAATCTAAAAAAAATATTTCTCTAAAGTTGAAATGAAAATTAAATTTAAAAAATATATATATATGCGGTAAAATAAAAAAAAAATATATTATATTTCTCATTTACAAAAAAGTACATTAAGCTTTTCACTTTGTAGAATAATTATTTTTAAATTAAAACAAGAACTTTTGACTTGATAGGGGTAATTGACT